AAGAGGAACATCTGCCAAAAATTGATAATCAGATTAGAGGATTGAGAGAGCTAATCACAGAAGTCCTCATTTTCAGGGTTATATTTAGCATAAATTAATAGACCTTGACCTTTCAAATGTAGAGACACCTTTTCCTTGCAAAAAATATTTTCATTTTTATAGGAGAGCCAAAATCTAACATCAGTTATGCATTAATGACTGAAGTACCATATGCCCTTCAAATGTCTATTTGTTCCAGCTTTATGTGGAAAAGCTTTTGTATCTTAAATCAAGCAAGAGGACCAAGCTGCCATAAGGGGTAGAGGAGGCAGATGCAGTTTGAAAGTGACATATATCTCCTAAGACTCTCACCATTACCTATTAGCTGAGGGGAAAACTAGTTTAACTGAGACTTCTGTACCGGCAGAGAGTTGCATATGCTGTTCTGGACTGCACATAACTCCCAACCAGGGAAGTGTGAGTTATTCCTGCTGGCCAAATGAATCTCCTGTATTCCCAATCTTCCTTTCTCTCACAGTGGAAGTAATACTCTGGCCAGAGACCAACCCCCTTCATGGGGTATCATGGAGACTAAGAGGAAAACATTTCAGGAATGAGGAAGAATTTGAAATCACTAATCTTGAGAGATAAATTGGACAAATGTAGATGGATATGTGGTCTTGGGTGTTCTTAGTGACAGCTGCTTTGCAAGGGTGTACAGGGACTCAGCCCTCCAGTAAGATGTGGCAACATAATCGTTGCCCTTGAGGCACTTCCTGTTCTTTCTCTTCCCCATATGGAAGTTTAATTAGAAGAGAAAGTGGGAGAAAGAGCAGATAAGAAAGTGGAGGTGGATAGTGACAGGAACAACTTTCATTAAGTTTGGTGGAACAGCAAGGAGTGAAACAAAGCTCTAATGGAAAAGGGACATGGAGTCATGATTGAAAATACATCAGAGAGAGCATTACACATGGAAAATATTAAAACCTGGGGGTGAGTGCTTACAGGTTAGAGAGGGGCAGAGCTGATTTTGTAGAAATAAAGTGAATGAAGCCCTTGAATAGACAAGAAGAGAAAGAACCCAGAGTAATGGCCAAGGGGTTTTCCTCTACTGAATTGCTACAATTTCTCAATTTATCTGTCCTTTTCCTCTGGCTGAACATTAAAAATTGGGATGACTCAAGGCTCACCCTTAAGAACTTTCCTCTAAATGTACTCTTCTTTTTATGTGATTTCAAAAAACTAAAACTATCAACTGCACACACTCATATATTTACATAAACATAAAATTGTGTCATCTTTGATCTCTCCTCTCTTCTGAATTCCAAATATTAATTTCTTCTTAACATCTCCACTTGGATGTCTAATAGATTTATCCAGCATTATATTTCCTGAGCTGAAGTCTTGATTATAAATCCCCATTTCCTATAAACCCCCATTTCCTCTTTTCTGATAAATGACACTTAGATACTAAGATTCTCAAGGCAAAAACTCTGGAATTACTCTTTACACCTCCATCCTATCTTTACCAAATCCATTAATGTTCCCATCATTTCTAGCTCCAAATCATATTTTTAATCTGCATGTATCTTTTATAACCATGGCAAATAACCATTGTAATTTAAATCTATCAGCTCTTAAGGAACCACTAGATTAGGTTCTTGCTGAAACTCTTGTTTCACTTGTTTCCCACTCAACCCCTACAAAGCAATCAGAGTAATTTTTATACATCACACACCACATCACAATTCCCTATTCCTTTAATATAAAATCACAGCTCTTCAGTAGCTTCTCAGTTTATTCCTCACCATAATTTGCAAGGCTCTTTGTGATCCTATATTGTCTCCCTTAATTCACTCTTATTTGATTTTACTGTGTTCAAGTTCTACTGTATTTTCTAATCTCCTAGTTCAATCAGCTTGTTCCCACCTCAGACCCTGGTGTGAGCCATTCCCCCTGCTTAGCCCTTATCCCTGTACCAAATTCTCATCTCCTGATCTTCATATCTGTCTCCTTAGGAGCTGAGGAGACAACAGGAGCTAAGAAAGTTGATTTTGTTTACTGCTTCAACCCCACAGGAATATTTACCAAGTAATTACCCCCTGGTAATTACTTAGTAAATATTTACTGAATAACAAATAGTGTTAGCTGCTATCATTTGATCAGCCCAGATAGAAACACAGAAAGAAAAGTGAAAAGATACCAGGATATACATGCATGGCATGTGAACATTCAGCAAAGTGACTGGCAGATGGTAAGGGCACAAATATCATAAGCTAATAATTAAAGCATCTCACTTAATCCTTGGGACACAAACTCCCTCTTTGTTAATATCATCTCATCTCTCTCCTTTTAGAGTGCCTTGGGATGATCTTATCCTGGGTGTCCTCATCCATTTTCATGGCTCTCCCCTTCAAGAACTGCCTGTTGAAAAGAATGGCTAACAGTTTTCTCAAACTTAGTGTTCCAGGACTTTCTGATCTCAGGAAATAGCAGAACTCTTCTTTGTTTCTCAGGCAAAGAAAAAAATCAGATTCATTCCCATCACCACCTTTTTTTTTTTAACTCAGCATTTGTTCTGTCAGCAGATCCTATTGTATTTACTTTCAAAATATATCTAGGATCTTGCCAGCTGTCCCCAAATCCATTCCTAACATTCTGGTTTTACCTATCATCCTATCTTACCTCAGTTACTGCAATTGCTGTTCCCTGCCACTCTCGGCTCCCTATGAACTAATCTCCAAATAGCTGCCAGAATGACCCTGCCAAAATATGTGACAGATAATGTCACCCTATTATTGAAAGGTCCCTAATGTTCCCTAAGTCACTCAGAATACAGCACATCTTCACAGTTGCCTGTGAAAACTCCATGGGCCCTGATTTCCTGTACTGCTTTCCCCTGTAGTCACTAGGCTCCTCAGATTCATGCCTGCTCGCTGCTGCCCTGCCCTTGCCGTGCCCTGGGATGATCATCTCTTAGATACTTGCATAGCCCACTCTCATGGGTCTTCACTCCAGGAGCATTGTCTCAGAATGGCCTCCATGACCACTTTCTGTAGTTGAAACATTTGTTTTTTTTTTGCTACCAGGGATTAAACCCAGGGGCACTCAACCACTGAGCCACATCCCAGCCCTTGTTTATTCTTTATTTTGAGACACCATTTCACTCACTAAGTTGCTTAGGGCCTCTCTAAGTTACTGAGGCTGACTTTGAACTTGAAATCCTCCTGCCTCTATAGTTAAAACATTTCTGACACTCCTATTCTTACTCTTTTCTTCATTTACATGTTTCCTTAGCAGTTATTACAATTTAAATTAGTTATAACTTACTTTTGTATATTGTTATTGTTTTTCTTCCTCACTAGAATAATATTTTTTGTTTTTATTCACCCTCTCCTACTGCCAACCATCTAGAATTGTGTCTAGCACATAAGAGTTGCTCACTACATATTTGTGGGATGAATGAACAAAATGTTAGCTGTTAATCTTTTATAGTCCTAAGTAAAATATTAGGATGAAAAAGAATAGTGTAAGGTAAGTTACATACATATGATTTCAAATTTAATATAGTGGATTTTTTTCTGAAAAATTGTGTCAAACTGAATGTTTACAAATTAGATAATATTTGGAATATACAGGCAACATTTCTATTTCAAGGAACTGGTGATTAATCCTCTGTATAAAACAAAGGAATTTTGAGCACTAACTTGAATGACTTGTCCTTAATCTAGGCCCTCATAAGTTAAATATTTTATTTATCAGTTTTTTTTTTGATGCACACTTAAAAACAGAAAACAGGCAGCCTTTGAACCTTATTCTAGCTCATGTTAATTCTAAAATAAATTCACAAGAAATGTAAAGGAAACTTCGAAAGATATTAGAGACCCTTAACACATTTTATATAATTCTATCCTCCCAAAATGTTCAAAATGAATTTTGAAAAAAGAAACCACTAATGCTGATGGAGCAAAGGAAGCCCCAGGCCTCTGTCAATAGCCACCATGACTTGATTGCATTGCTAAGTGCATCTGCCTTTCTTTTCTACATTTGGTCAATATGAACTTTTTTTAAAAGAAAATTAACGTATGGAGGTTGTTTGCATAAAAAAATATTATGTGTTTACAGAAAGTACATAATGAACTATGCTGTTTAGCTTCCATTTCTTTATGAGAAACTGCCCACTTGGCAATCCTTTAGACAGATATTGTTGGCCATATTTGGCTAGTAAGAACCCATCCTGGTATTTAAGACCAAGGAGATTCAAGACAATGTGTGTTCTAGCTCGCTCTCTCTCTTCTAGGGCTATATGATCACAAATCTCATCTAATCCAGAGTCTGGCTGTTTAAGAAATATTTTATAGTGGCCCATCTAAAACCATCAATATGGTGCTTGGATTGTAATTAAGGAGTTTTTTTAAATTCAGCAAATTATAAAGAATGAAAATGGGTTTTAATATGAAAATATTCATCATGACTATATATAAAAAAGTGGTCAAATATTTCTAATGTGTAGAATCACCAAGGATACAGCAGCTAAGAATACCAACTGACACATACCAAGCTATGTGGGCAGTTAATGATATGATTTTCTGGAAACAACGTAAACAACTTTCTGCAAATAATTATTGGTGCATGATCTCTACTCTATTTAGTAAATATTTTCATTATTGTAAAATTCAGTGTGTATAACACCATGAAATACATTTTATGTTTTTATCTAAAATGAAGTTAGATTTAAGGTCAAATAATATAAATTTTTTGCTATGTAGATGTTTGATATGATATTTGACAGTCATGTTGGCTTTGGAAGAGTTCAACTTATGCATTAAGGTCTTGGGAAATGCAAGATATCTGACATCCAGCATTCACACCTACAAAATCTATTAAAAACCACAACAAATAATCTGACTTATTTTCAAAAATCTCCTGTAGGGGGCAGTATTGCTCCCATTGAGAACTTCTATGAATGGAGTACAATTCTGAGATTCTTCCTCCCACTCCTCTCTGCTTTGCTTTTTCAGCACCTTGGATTCTCTAATTGTAGTGCAAGATGAAAGAAAAGGTAAAAAGGCAAAGTCTCCTTCTTCACAGGTATGTTTTCCTGTGGGTGGGCTTATTGGGGTATGGATCTTTGGGTTGGTTGAGGATGATTAGTAGTTGGGCCAGTAATGTTATCTAGCTCCTCTTAAGACTTCCCATGGAGAAGTGAACTAACCTGAAAGCTTAAAATACAAGGGAATGGGGTAGGATTTAGTTCCATTTATTGCCAACTCTGAATTTTGTATGTTATTCTATAGAATTGTTTGAAAAACAATTCCTCTCCTGTAACACTAATTTGAGAGAAGTGCACTGGAAGTGAAAACACCCCCAAACAGAAATCAAATACCTGGTGTGGTAAGCTCAGCTTTACTGCCTCTTAATGGGTGATGTTGAACACTTAAAGATGCTAGGCCACGTTTGCCTCATTTGAAAAACAGGACAGAGAGTAAAGGAGACAAAGTCATATATGAATTCTTTGATCCCTTGACTCTAATATAACTGTAAATATTAGGAATCTCCATGCAGACAATGTACAATGTCCTGCCTTGTGTGGCTGGGTGTCCTCGAAGGAGTGAAAATTGTGATCTACTCTTTTTTTCTTTTAATACAAGAACTGTGGCATCGATTTTGTCGAGCTTCCTAGAGTCTTCCTCAAAACGAAGTGATTTTTAAAAAAATGATTATATGTTATTAAACATGGTAAATCACAGAATATTAGAGTTGAGACATCACTTGTTAATACATGAAGTCAGATAATTTGCAAGTTTTTCTATATCTAGGTGAATTTTATGACATAGGTTAAGTAAACTTACCACCACTTGCTGATTCTCTTCTGTATACCAGACAAGATCCAGAACATTGGGTAGTGGTGAGGACACAAACTTATGAAATGTATGGCCTCTCTACTAACAGTTAACTATTTTAGACTGGGTTTCCTAGAAGCCAAGTCTAAGACAGGGATTCTTACCCAGATGGTTTATTGAGGGTAAGCTCTCAGGTGGAAATCTCTGAAGAAGTGAGGAAAACTGGATGGGGCAGAAATTAGTCAAAAATGTAATTTCAGAAATCAAGTATCATCCTGAAATTCTGGAACTCTGGTAATTTCTCAACTACAACTAAGATTTTCAACCAAGAAACAAAGTCCAAAGCTGCTAGATTCAGCCAGCCATTTGCTACACTTAGATCACCCTCAGGGATAGGTAAGGACAGAGTCTTCCAGGTGTTACAGGTGAAATTGTTCCTGTCAGTGAAGAGCCAATTTGCACAGAACGTCTGCCCATGACAGTTAATACCTGTAGCTGCTAGAGAATGGGTACCTCAACCTAGAAAAGAGGTTTATGTTTTTTAAAGAATAGAATATCTTCAAGGTGGGCCTGGTAACTCTGGAGGCTGAGGCAAGAGGATCAGGAGTTCGAGGCCAGATTCAGCAATTTAATGAAAAACCTCAGCAGCTTGGGAGACCATGTCTCAAAATAAACAAATAAATAAATAAATAGGGATAAAGATGTAGCTCAGTGGTTAAGTGCACCTGGGTTCAATGCCCAGTACAAAAACAAAACAAAACAAACTTCAACCTAGTATTGCTCCTATTTTCCAGTAAACCAAGGCATGGCCAGGTTAGATAATTTGGTCAAGGCCACACAGCTAGCAAGTGAAAGATGTTTTTTTTTTTGTTTGTTTGTTTGTTTGTTTGTTTTGTTTTTTTTTTTGTTTTTTTTTGCATCATATAGTATAACTTCCTGGAATAGAGAAAAATAAATCTTAAGTACTGTCCCAGATTTGCTAAGTCAAAAGCTCTTTGATTGGGCTCATGTTTAATAAGATATGTGCTCTCATTAAGGAATTAAAAATACATTCTGAAAATAATACACTATTTTTACTATACACCAAAGAAATTCTTAAACACACTGCAGTGTGAAATATGAGAAGTTTTTCAATGTGGAGAAAAGTTGTGCAAAGGACAAAATAAGCAGATAAAACTAGCAGAAATACTTGTGAGGTTTTATACATAGCCTGAAATTGGGTAGGAAGGAAGAATAAATTTGAGAATGGGCTGTCAAATATCAGACAATTATTGCACAGGAAGAAATGATCTCTTTATTGTCAGATTGTTTCTTAAAGAATATAACACCCAAAACACAATGATATATGAAACACTGGGTTCAGTGCCCAAAGAGTATTCTTGTCTGTCTACTGGCCTTTGCTGCATGACAGTTAACCCCCCAAATACCCTAAATTACCTCTTTCCTAAAGAGGAAAAGAATATTATAAGACTGGGAAGGGAAACAATATTTCCTTAAAGGTTCTGGAAGTGAAAACATTGTATTAATACAAGGAAATAAGTTCACGCCTATATATTATTAGCAGAGTATTTTCATGCAGACATTCAATGTCATGTTCTCTGAAATGACATATGATCTGAATATGTGTACTTTCAAAAAAGCACTTCCTTATAAAAATTAAACTAAAGAGACAAAATAGAAAAAGAGAAGACCAGAGAAGGAAAAAATTGAATTCATTGGCTACAATGAAATTCTTTCCAGGCAATTTCATAGGAGTACTAGGCTAGAAAGCATCTTCCCCATTACGTGTTGGTTTAATTGAGGAAAAGAGATCTCTAACAAGTCAGAAGAGTCTGTTCTTCTCATGTGATGTGCATTGGTAGATCAGACTCCCTGTGTTCTCTTTAACCTGTTACATCTGCTCATCAGCATTATGCAATTCATTATAACATCTACATACAAATTCCAGGTATTGTGTGGAGAAACACTTTTAAGTAATATAATATTTTTTTTCTGATCAAGAAGGTTGTTTGTTTACTCTATTTTTATTTTGTTGGTTCACATTTCAGTCCATTACCTATAATAAATTTATACTGACACTTTTTAGATACTTTTCCTTTAATACCAGATTAAATACTCTAGCAATTTAGGGGATTAATGGGTAGTCCTCAAAATGACCTTAAACTCAGTTAAATGGTATAAATTATGGAGTGGAGGGCTTGACACCAGAGTTGAGGGTTGAAAACCTAAAGTTCGCAAAGTGCAAAAGACCAAGGGAAAAGAGGAGACTTAAATTTTTTGGTTATATGCTAACTAAACTGACACCTCCTACAAACTACTGGCAGGTGTGAGAGTCAAACGCTTGCTTTAATCATATTAGTGAAGATTATAGTGAAGCTTTGAAACCCCAAGGCTAGTGTGCAGTGCTAGAGTTGTTCAGAGAGAGCTCGCAAGAAATTCACTGTCTTAAGAAATTTAAAATAAAAATCAAGAGCAGTTTGCTTAGTAAGTTAAGAGCCGAGGGAAGAGCTAAGACTGGATTGAAGTCCAGAAATTCAGCTGTTTGAGTTAACACTCTATTTTAACAGCAGGCAAAAGATGCCAGTGATCAATATTGAGGACCTGTCAGAAAAGGACAAATTGAAGATGGAGGTTAACCAACTCAAGAAAGAATTGGCACTGGAAAGGGTACTGGTAAGTTGCAGCTCTCCTTAGAATTTTATTTTAAGCAAGAGGTGCTCTGGGAATCCCAGGTTATAAAACATTGACTGTTGTTGCTGTTTATCTATTATATACCCAAGCGACTCAATGTGCTTAAAAATGAATTATTCATGTAAAAATTCATTAGAGATTAAGAAAGTTAAACACGAAGATTATGTCTCTGATTTAGACTCTAGGTCAAGGGTTGAAAAACTATTGTCCCTAGGCCAAGATCAGCCCTTCCTTAACCTGTTTTTTGTATGACCACTAAGCTAAAAAACATTTTCACATTTTAAAAGAGTGGCTAAAAATAAAGAAAGTAAGAAGGAGAGAGAAAGGAGAAAGGAAGAGAGGAAGTAAGGAACATGAGAAGAGAAGGATGAAGGGAGAGAGGAAAAGAAGGGGAAAAAGACTAGATTTTAGTGAAGCATTAAAATGAAACAATGCATGTAGACATTTTGTTTGTACTTTTCTAAATTCTCTTTACATGCAATATTTTGATGTTGTCGAAGTCTTTAAATAATGACCTCATCCTCTCCAGCACTGTCCTGGGCAGTAATGAATGAGTACATTCTATTCTTCTTTTGCAACTAAGGATGAGTTCTGGCACAAAAACTCACTGGTTTCTTCCAAAAGCATCTGAGAACTCTTGGAAAATGGTTACCAAGAGTTCTCTGCCACTAGAAGGGGCAGACATGGCAAACTAATTAATTTTCCACCAAACAAATAGTGACTAAAGCTTGGAAAATGTAGATCTGTACTTTAGATTTCTTCATTTTAGGAAAGTTAGCAGAACTCAAACTCCTCCACAAATGATAGCAGCATATCTTACATTTTTGAAGAATACATCATTTTATCAAGACAAAGTGCAAAGGGGGTTTATATTCTTTTCATACCTTTCTCAAAATTCTTAGTCCCAATCAAAATTAGGTTTTTAGCTTATCTGATGCGTATAATTGCCTCAAAGTCCCCTGTTGCCCTTTCATACAGACAAAACATGTTTTTATGTAAAGATAAAATTGAATCCACAGCTAGTACAAAAGCTTGGAAAACACACTCGTTGACTTAAAGTTCTTATCTTTCTAATTTGAGGAAAATAAAGTTTTGGTGTTTCTTTTTCTCCATTACTCAACATCTCCCAGCTATTTGAAGTCAAAGTGATCTAATATCGGACTGTAAGAACTTTCTCTCTCTCCTTCTTGCTCTAGAGATAAACACACACCTACCCCCCACACACACATATTCACACACAAACATCCACATTTGTCTTAGTCTGTTGAGGCTACTGGAACAGAATATCATGTACTAAGGATGAGTTCTGGTACAAAAACTCACTCAATGGGTGGCTCATAAACAACAGAAATTTATTTCTCACAGTTCTGCAACAATGGTAATTCCAAGATCAAGGGCCTGCTCCCTGTTCATACACTACAATGAATATCTTTTCCTTTCACTGTGTTCTTACCTGGCCAAAGAGGCAAGGGAGCTCTCTGGGGTCTCTTTTATAAGGACACTAATAGCTCATTCATGGGGGCTCTACCTTCATGATCTAATCACTCTCATAAGACTCCATTTTCTAATACTATCACATCAAGGCTTAGGATTTCAACATATAAATTTGGGGAGACACAAATATTCAGACACACACATATACATACACATATATCAATATAAATATATATATATATATATATATATATATATATATATATGACATAAAGATTTTACTTGAAAAAAATCAATGGATTGTTTAATAATTTAAGAAATGGTCACTGAATAAACTTCCAAAAATGAAGTATTTCTGTGTTACTGTCATGAATAACATTAATTGAAAACAAAATAAATTGAAGCTAAAAGCATGAATAAGTGGATCCCATACCGACTAGTACTACACACATTTGTAGTTACATGTGTATACAACATTGCCTCTCTCCTCTCTTTCTGGCTGAGTCCATTAAAACACTAAAGCCTGTTTTTTGTGGTTGTTGTTTTTGTTGTTTTATTTTTTCATTAAGCTGTGATAATAATGTTACAGGTGAGTTGGGGGCAAACTCATAAACATGAGAGACTCAGCTCAGTACATACTTATTTATTGAGCACTAACTAAATGCACATTCTGCTATGAATGCCTGGAATACATTAAACAAACCGGCCAAAGTTTCCAACTCCACAGAGCTCATGTAGAGCACTGTCATGGTCAGTCCTTGTAGACGAGTTTAAAATGAAGTACACATATGTATTTCTGCGAATCCAGGATGGTGATAAGCTTGGAATTTAAAATTACTCATTCCCTTCTATCTTTACTAGTCACTTTTTGGAATGAGGAAGAAGATTTAATTAATATTCACTTGTGTTCCAGTTGTGTTCGATCCCTGGATCTTGTCTCCTTTGAAGCTGAAGGCAGGTTCTGCTGGGAACCTTCCCTGGAATGTGGCCAGTGTCTGTAAATATTCAGGAGGATGAGTTGGGGGCAGCTCTTTCTTCTTCTATGTAAAAAGCACATATGCATCTGCAGAAAACAGAAAGAATCATTTGTAAAGATACAACGTGAAAGTTTACTGTAATAAATAAATTCTCAAAATCTACAGTATTCTGTTTTATACCATATGAGTTGTCTCTTTCTCCTTCCTCTTAAGGTGTCCAAATGTTGTGAAGCAGTAAGGGATTATGTTGAAGAAAGATCTGGGGAAGATCCTCTAGTAAAAGGTATCCCAGAAGACAAAAATCCCTTCAAAGAGCTCAAAGGAGGCTGTGTAATTTCATAAAGAAAAAAAAAGTCTTTAGAATATCTGTAATTGTAAAGAAAATGTGATTTTTTTTCTCATGTATAATCAAACATGCACATGAATGTTTAAATTTATAAATGTAAACTTTAATAAAAACTGGGATTAACAACAGATGATTTTATGTTTTTCTTAAGATAGTTAGCACAGGGTTTAACACATAATTGACAATAAATATTGATGAAATCTTCTTTAAAAACAGTTACAATTGTTTTTTAACTAATCTCTTAGTATTGGAAGTTATGAGCAGACAGTAAATATTTTGTTTCTTCACTTTCCTTTCAATACTCATAATATTCTACTTTGAAATGTTACAAGTTAGACATGTTTTTCTCAACCTTTCTCTTGGTCACAGAATTAGGAAGTCTATTGTTTTGACACACTGATGACCTATCTTGGCAGGATATGTGCTGCAAGGGTTTTGTTCTTGATGATTTTTGTTTCCCTTTCTCCTTACCCCAAGTCAGTGGAGATGGTTTTAATGTAACCTCTTTCTCCATTCTTACCCAACTCTACTTCTCACCAGTAATGTGATTTCCCCCCAGAATGCTAACTGGATTAAGGGTTCAGTCTGTGGTCACTGAAGCATAGTGAATTTAACTAGCAACAGGATAAAAGTTATTAGAATGGACTTAGAAACCAGAGGGTTCTGGTTCTGCCACTTTCTTGCCTAACTGACTTTGGATGTTCCTTAATTCTTTCTAAATCTTTGTTTGTTTTAGTCAGCTTTTGTGTTGCTGCGACTAAAATACCCAATGTGAACAACTTAGAGGAGGAAAAGGTTATTCTGGTTTATAGTTGCAGGGGTCTTAAACTCCATTGCTTTGGGCCCAAGATGAGGCAGAACATCCTGGGAGAAGGGCCCAGAAGAGAAAAGCTCCTCAGCTCCTGGTGGGGTCAGAAAGCAGACGTGGGGGCTACAGAGAACAACCCTTCCAGAGCATACCCCCAGTGACCCACCTCTTCTAGTCATGCCCCTCACCTGCCTATGACCACCATCTAGTTTGAATCATCCATTCAAACTAGGATAATTAGGTTACAGCCCTTATAACCTAGTCATTTACTTCTGAATAACCTGACTAACAGGAACTTTTTGGGGACACCTCATGCCCAAACCATAATGCAATTCTTCTACTGGAAATTGAAGATGATAATGGTTCTAACTACTCTTATGGGATTTAAATAATATACTAGAACAACTATAACATGTAGCATATTTCCTGGCCCACAGTGAGACCCAATAAATGTTAACTAGTATTGTTACTATGAAAGAAACAAGGTAACATTTCAGAATTCTTTAAGGTATATGCTACTTCATCCCATCCCCATGAAAACCCTCACTAGTAATCTCCTTTACAGAAAGAAAGGTGAAGGCAAATGATAGAAAATTTGCTATCCCTAACTTGCCTCTGCTTCTGTAACAAATGACAAATATCATTACTTCAACTCAGAAATTTTTGTTGTGTTTCTCTCTTACTGCCTCCCATTTGCAATGCTATTCTGGATGCTTCTTCGGTCATCAGAATACTCAAATTTTAATTGGCTGTCATCTTTTAAAAACAAGATAAATACCATCCATTATTTAGTCTGGAAGGGAGTCTGAAGGTTTTCCCAAATTTGGCTCTCAAAGACTCTTGTCCAACCCCTTCATTTTGAAATGGAGAAAATAATGCCTCAAAGATGAGAATTGGCTAAATTCTCAGGTCAAGACTGTGTTTCTGGCTAAATAGCAGTACACTCCACCACATATCTTCATGAAATGTGCTTTGGGTGTTAAGGGATTCCAGGATAAACCATGGATTCTCTTATCTCTGTTTTCCTGAGAATAACTCTTCTATTTAAATTCCTCCCACCCACCACTAGCACTTCCTATCTTGCTCCCTCCCCCTTTATTTTCCTTCATAGCACCCATCACCATCTAGCATTCTATGTATTTTATTTAATTGTGGTCTGCCTCTAAGAGTTTCCCATCTGGAAGTTAGTGTTTAGAGAAGTGTTTCATATATTCCTTTTTTTCTGATGAAAATAAACACAAATTCAATGCTGTTGAATTCAGTAACATCTAAAGTGTAGTCCTAACCAATTTAATCTCTAGTTTTCATCTTCCAACTGGAGGTAGATTTGGGAGCCTGATGATTCTCAGTTAAAACACTCTTTTCTACTTTATTGAGGACTTTGGATAAGCAACTTCAACTCTATGAAACTCCTTTTTTTTCTTCTTTCATGTATAAAATGAGGCATTATCTATACTTGGATATCCGAAACCCTTTAGATCAGAAACTGGCATATAGAAAAAGCCTCAATAAATGTCCTTCATTATTGTAAGCCCAGTAGACTTATAGTAGTGAACACACAGTCCCTGACATGATCCTGTATTTCCCCATTTGAAACTTGGCCATACTGACCCCTCCACCTGAAAGGTCTCTTTACTCCATCTCATTTCAGTCTTTGAAATTATTCTCTTCTTCTGAGATTGGATGTTCATCACTCTCTCAAGAGTATTTTGTGTGTCTCTTAAGTCACTTAACATTACATTATTTTCTGTTATTATGATTTGTATGGTTGTCTTAATTTCAATGTTGTATTGTACATTTCCCAAGCCTGAAGCCCTCTTCATCTTTGAAACTGCCATACTAGCTAATAAACTGTCTCTACAATTTAATTGACCTCATAAATATTTAATTCAGTTAAAAACAGGCAAGCTCAGTACTTGTGCATTGCTTATACTGAAGAATTCACAATTCTTATGGCTTACTTAATGATTAAATCAACAGTAGGGTGAAATTCTTATTGCTAAAAAACAGATTGTCAGCAGAATTTTGAGTAAGAGAGAAATCATAGGAAGGAAGTATAGAGAAAGACTGTCCATTAAATCATGACTCCCAGAGATTGCACAGCTATCACCGCCAAAGACTATTTTGTTCAGAAGTTGTTTTTTCAGGGCCACTGGTTACTGGGTTAAATGGAATGAGGTAAGACTCCAAGGAAACCAAAAATACGCCTGGCACAACCATAGCAATTGGCTCTTCAACAAAACTTTCTGGTATCATTAGTTAGAACAAGTTATAAATATTACAATATATCATTTAAACTACTTGAAGTTTGCAATTACTTTGCACATACTTGCACATGTAGGTGAGTTCAAGTTCAACTCAACAAATAAACAAAAAATGCCCTCCTGTTATTTTTATTTGGACTGATTTGATTTGGGCCAGATTTCAAAACAAAACTTAACTCAAACTTCCTAAATTCCTAAAAGAATGTTTTTAACATGAAGAAAATAGTCAACTGAACAATGAGAATGAACAATCATCTATGATGGGAAGTAAGGTCTTGTAGGAAAAAAACTGATCAATCATTTTGGTATTGTAAACTATAAGTAGTTGTTGAGGTAACAGGAGCATCAGACCCAGATCATCCTGTGACCTGACATCATCTCTACCCAGGAAAGGAATCTTAAGAAATGACCAAGTTCCTGGAAATTGACATGTGATAAAAATCCAAATCAAATGAACTAAAACTGCATCAAATGTTTGTTAAATACATCCTTAAACTATCATTCTAATGACCTCTAAACAGTTTCTATTTTATAAATGTAAGAATGCAGAATTTGAGGGGTAATCTAGTTTATATCCATGAAAAGGAGGGAGACAAAATGTGTGCCTGGCAAACATACAAGATAAAATAAGACCAGAACAGTGATTTTCTAGCCTGATTTAATATTAAATCAAATCCAACATAACTTCTTTCAATATTTTCATGTAGAATTTTTTCATATGAATTTTTAGTAATGTACTTAATAAATTAGGAAAATAGTAAAAAGAAATGTTTCCCTCCTTATTTCACGCCAAAATAAAAATGTTGTGATCATTGCTCTTCTAATTTAAAAATGAAGATTGTTACTTTTACTTTTCTTAAGCAAATTTATCTAAAAACAGTGGGATACCTAATAAGTTAATTTCTGGTTACACTATCATATTTGGTCCAAGAGGTTTCATATTATACTCATATTATTTTGTAAAATTATTTTCATTAGGAATAATATGTAAAATATAAGTAAAAAGTTAGACACAACTAATATGAATTTTAAAATTTGTTCATTCAAAAATTGTATTTACTCTGGGCTGGGAATGCATCTTCAATTCTAGAGCACTAGTCTACCATGCAGGAGGCCCTGGGTTTGATCCTTAGCACTGAAGAAAAAAAAAAAAAACAAAAACAAAGCTTACTCAAAAGTTTTGAATTTTGTTGATAGCAATTGCTTACCATGATTCTTCTCTGGAAGATAAACTATAATGCCTAAGGAATGGGGGAGTATATACCCTTTTGTTTAGAAAACAAAGTCTGCATTATTTTACTATTTAAAAATCAAAGAAGAAGACAGTTTCCAGAATGCTGTGTGAACATGAGATCTCAACCTTTCATAATCAATTTTAGATTAATTACTTAATAAGACATTTACTGTGAATTGCTTGATAATACAAAGTTTAAAAAAACAGTAGACTAATGCTAGTTTTCTCTAATGTAAGTCTGCTGGGAGCCATTAGCCAAGTAGGTATGACAATTTCCTTGCCAGCGTACCCCATGTTGCTTAGTGGAAGGACTCGTGGAAATAGGACATTTTGCAGTGACATTGCATCTAAGGTGACCTTGCTCAAGGACCAGGGCGGATCCTGGTTTAGGGTGGATCAGGGTTTAGGGCTCTCCTTGGGTTTAGGGCGGTTCCAGGTTTAAGGTGTACCCTGCTGGGAATAGGGCATATCCTGCTGCCTCAGGCTTGCCCGCTCCTTGAGTTCCCATTGAGTTCTCATGGGATTCAGAGAGTATTTGGGATGCAGAAGGTGGATTTGGGCAGAGAACGTGGATTTCCCCAGAACGTGATTGTAGAGCGCTGGTGTGAGTTCGGGAATAAAGAGTTGCTGTTTGAATCTACAAGCTGTGTGGTGGCTTGTGATTTTGTGCCCAGCCAGACTGCGGCATTTGGCAGCTCGTACGGATCATACCCGTCACTGACTACTGGTCCAGCATATAGCCATTGGCCCCCAAATTTTAGACCATCACTAGCAGAAGGGAGGAGGATACAGAAATGCCACGACACCAAGCCAATTGATG